GTGGTGGTGGTGGTCATGGTGATTGTGTTTGAAGAAGGAATAGAGTTAGACCTTCTATGTCTCTTCTCACATATACTCTTGGGCTACTTTGTATCCTTTAATGGACATGCCCCTACTTTCTCCCTCCCTGGCTGGCTCACAACCATTGTTCATTCTTGATTTTTGTACAAATTGGCAAATACAAGTGATAAGCAAGTGTGAAGATCTAATGTACATCATGAGAACTGTAGTTAATAGTGCAGTGTTTTTGAGGCTCAGTGAGTAAATTGAAGCTGCTCCTGCCCCAAGGGGTGAATGATGGTAAGCAGATGTGTGGATCAGTGCGCTTCTGTGTACTGCTTTACTGTGTGTCTCATAACATCGTTATAGCTTTGCGCAGCGGCAGTATCGTAGCCAGTGAGGTTTATCTAAGGCGCGATTATTGTTAATTGAAAACTTTTCATAACATTGTTATGTACCTTAAATATGCACTGTGAAATTTATTTTGAAAAACCCTTGGATTAGTGATAAGGGGTGCACCCCCAGCATCTAAACGGGAACGGGAAATAGATGCTGGTGTGAGCTGCCAGACGTACTGACTGTGAGAATCACAGACAAGGTAGGGAGGCTCCTAGGAAGTTCATAAGACTAACAAGAATAAAGAAGGTGGTTTTTAAAAACTCAAGGGCTGGTGAGATAGCTCAGTGGACTAAGCGCCTGCTTTGGCAAACTGAGGAACCAGAGTTCGATCCCTGGTTCCACATGCCACGCCAGCCCTGCCCCTGGGGCACACAGAGCCAGCCACCGAGTCTGGGTGTGGTGGCGCAATCCCAGTGCTGGGGAGGCTGAAAATAGGAGAATCATTACAAGTCCAAGCTGTGTAGTGAGACCCTGTGCTAGATACACAAAATAAAAATAAATAAGTAAATAAATAAATATTTAAAAATTCAACATAACTTTTTAAGGAAAAAGAAATTTTCAGCCTGATTCAGCAACATATTTTATAAAAGACAGTCAGGTGGCCTTGCCTTCTAGCCCTGCCTGGCCACAAGGCACCTGCAGGAGGAAGTGGCTTTCAGGGTCCTAGCTGTGTGACCTTACTCCCACTCCACGCTGTGCTGATGGGCAGCCTCACAAGGATGGGCATCTGCTATGAAAACACTTACACACACATGTGCATGTGCACACACACATGCGCGCGTGCACACATGCATTCCAGATTGTCTATTATTTTAAGAAAGGGGGAAGTACTATGTTTGAAAATAGGTTTCATCAATGAAAGCTGAGAAAATGAAAGTGGAATCACTTTTTTAAAGTTTGATTTAATGTGTTCAGAAGTTCTCTCAAGCCTCGCTCAGGAGCTGAGGTGGTGTAGAAATTTGCCAAGTACCTGGCTAGCTCCAGGCGTTACGACTTTTATTCAAACCATACACGAGGATCTGCCAGCAGTCCAGAGACTGTGGCGAACTTCTCCCCAAGTGCAGTGTGCCAGGCGCTTACGACTTCTCTTGAAGATGCACAGTTGTCTCCAGAAGGTCACGGCCCTAAAAGTGACTCTAGTGTGTCTTAGGAACTTCGGGGTGCAGCGGCCTTGGTGGTACCTGGAGTGGGGCGCTGCTTTCTGAGTCGGTACCGGCTTGTGCAGTAATGCTAACAAAGCTCTTAGAAACACATTTTAAACTTACGAACATGAAGGAAAGACCTTTAATCCGCTGCTTTTCTGTTATCAGAATGGCAAACAAAGGCCAGTGTTAGGACCAGTTGAGAGCACTCTTCCTGGCAGAAGATGACTACAGGGTTAGGTGCACAAGCAAGCTATTCATAGAAGTGCTTGAAAATGTATTTCAAATTATAACCTGTGCACTCAGAGAAACATTTCAAAGGTGAGTAAAGCGTATCCACTGTGAGAAAACTCTCGGTAACTTTCAAGTGCTACTTACAACAGTTAGTGTAAATCTTCCAGTTAAATTGGGCTGAGGCGTGTCTGTTGGGACGTGTCTCCACCACCCTCCTGGGAGAACTTCCTACCTCGCTGCTGATTTTTCCAAAGCGCCCGAGAACCTTATTCCTTCTCCAGCAAATACTTACATATTATCTTCTAATTATCTAGGTGCTGGGATTACAGCAGTGAACAAACAGGTAGATACACAAAAATACATTGGCATAGTGTTAGCTAGTGATAAATAATGTGAAGAAAAATAAAGCAGAAAAGGGGACAGGGAAGGATGGAGTTTCTGTTTTAGACTGAGTTTAAAAAGTTTCCCTAGAGGAAACATTTGACTGCTGACCTAAATTAAGCCGGGGAGCAAGTAGCGCAGGTATCTAGGGCAGTGGCTCTTAACGGGGAGCCACTTTCACTCTCAGGGTACATCTTGAAGCATTTCCGCACCTGGAGACATTTCCAGGTACCACAGCTGCGGGGGTGGGCACGGGTGCTCCCCGCCTCCGGTAGGTAGCGGCTGGAGGTGCTGTGGCCGTCGTGATGCTCAAGACGGCCATTCCACAAGGAGCTTTCCAGCCCCAGATGAGAGCAGCACGGATGTGAAGAACCCCTCGTCTAGAGAGAGAAGGGCGTGCCTGGCCAGGAAGACAGTAAGTGCAGGCCAGACCCTCAGTGAGAACTTTCTTGGCTCGTTTGGGGGACACCTGGGAGGCTCGTGTGGCCAGAGCACAGCAGCGTGCAAATACCTATCTCAAAATCGGCTCCCAAGACAGCCCGTGCCTCTGCCGCTCCCTTTTCCAGCCCTGCCACCCCCGCACTAAGTTCCTACCCAAGCTCTCCTAGGAGACCTGGCTTTGCAAGCCGAGGGCTCGGAAGCAGACCAGGTTCTTGTGGGAGACAGGGTTTTGCCCACTTTTTCCACAGAGCCAGGCCACATGTAGCTTTCCCAGGGATGGGGCTTCTCAGAGTTGCCCCTGCAGGGATGAGGACGTGTGCTGTATGTGTGGGCTTTGATTTCTGAGAGGCGGCCATCAATAAATGAAATCACAGGCATTATCTTTGCATTGTGCAGGAGACAGCTTCAATTTGAAAGGACAGCAAAACTGACGGGAGAGTCTCTTTGGTGAGTAGCACTGACCCTCAGATTTCCTACACTGCCTCTCGTGGTCACCTTAAGAATGATCTTAAATGTGCGTGGCCATGGCTCTCAACTTTTGGGGTCTTGATGCCCCCTATACAAATTAACGTCACTGAGAACCCCAAAGATCTTTTTGTCATAGAGATTATAACTTTGTGTGCTGACCATATTCAAAATTAAGACAGGAAAAGCTTAAAACTCAAGAAAACCCAAGCGCATCTTGCGGTATCCTCCAGCACAGTTGCATCAGGACGTGTCCGGCATCCATGTGGGAAACTCCAGTGTGTGCTCAGAAAGAGTAAGTGCAGAAAAGGCCGGGCTAGGCGCCCCAGGGCCTGCGGGGCAGGCGGGTTCTGGGCCCTCAGCCTGCCGGAGCGCCCAGCTGCTGAAGGCCCTGGGTCACGTAGCCGGACGCAGAGTGTACGTTCCTGCGGCTTCTCTCTTTTCCTCTCTGGTCAGCCTGAATTTGCCCTCCAGAGCCGGCTTTTCCCTACCCTTTCACCCCTCGTTTTCAAATAAACATTTGGCACCATTTCTGGATTGTTTAGTCTAACTCTTTGTTTGAGACAAGAAGAACCTGGACTGTTAAAAAAAAAAAAAAAGTGGATAATATTTGCATATCAACCTATACATTTAAATCATCTCTAAGCAGAATCTCAAGGACTAACTAATCAAGAAAGGGAAAGGACATGAGCTAGGAACCATGACAATGTCAAGCCATACAGTTATATGTAAAAGATGAGCAAGGCAATGATCC